ACCCACAAACCAAACAACAAAACCCCTCTGAAATGTAAACGGATATCCTGTGGCAGAAATGGGCTTTGACTGTGATTTCTTAGCTGGTATGATTTCTGTGTTTTGCATTTGTGCAGTGGCTAGCACAAGCAGGGGCTGATCCAGTAACTTTAGACTGTATAATGTCAGTAAGAAAATCTGGTACTTACAAAAATCTGCCTGATGAGCATTTCTCAACTTTAGGATTCTTACAGTGAGCAGGGAGTAAGGTGACTTTTCATGAAAAAAAAATAATAAAGGAGATGTGCTTTAAAGTTTGGGATATGTGTATTTATTGTAATGACAACCAAACACTGAAAGGAACCCAGGTTCTGCTGAAGCCATCTCTTCTAGTCGGCATCACAGCAAAAATACACAAGGCAACAAAATGCACTTTCTTCACAAACTTCATCAGCCCCTAATGTCTGCAGTCACCTATCCATACAAACAGAAAGCGTGGAAGGAGAGGATGAATAGGAAAGTGGAGAGAGGAGGTAAATAAGCTGAGAAAGTTCAGTTAGCCGGCTACATTAAATCATATACGTGGTCATCAGCATCCAATACAACACAAAATTCAGTGAATCTCAAATCAGAAATGCTCTAATTTGGGGGGGAGGGGGAGCAGAAAGAGGGATCTTTTTAGATTTTCTCACTTATTTTTAAAATAATCATTTCCATGATGCAGAGGTGTCTAAGGATTAGTATTAGCACCTTAGGGAATGTCTCGGGCCACCAGGGCAATACGCAGCTTTGGACAAACACTCCTAGCTTGCTTTGTGGGAACGGAAGTTTTCCTTACCCAATGTGGTTGTCTGATTGATAGATGTGGAGTAGCATAACAAAGTACGTGATTTTGACCACAACCCATCTCAAAGAAGGCTATCTCCAATTCCTTGTTGAAGGTGCCAGGCCTGACCAACTGAGTCTGTAAAGGCTGCGCCAATCATATGTGCTTTAGGGATTTTACATCTTCAGAGAACGTGCCCATCATGTTTAGCAGCAGCAAGTAGAGCAACTAGGGTATCAGCAGAAAGACGCAGAAAATAGACAAAACTTATTACGGCTGCAGCACAGATGGCTGTCTGCATTCCCTGGCTCTGGGAACAGTTGTGGAAAATTTGTCAAAATAGCTGAAATTTATAGAAAGGAAAGAGAGTTACACTATGTACTCAAGAGACTGAATGAAAAAGATGAATCTGCACTGGGGATGGCCACCTGTATCATAGTTTAGGAACAGAAGCAGAAGAAAAAGAGAAATTTCAGACTGTACTGAGTAACAAATTCCCAAGCTGATGTATGATTATAATAGGAACAAGTCTTGTTAGATAGCTGGGGTAACACAGTAAGAATAAAGTGAATGCCAGAGGATGAGTGTCTGCACAGGAAAGAAAATACTCTTTCAAAGTCCGTCAGATCCTGAGGGCTGACTGCATACAAGGACATTATCAGCAGATTCTGAATTGGCTATCTCCAATAAGAGAGAAAGATATAAATAGTATAACATATATATTAAGAAGTGACCTTGAGAGAGTGAGGTTATGGAATAATAATGATTTTTTTAAGGACTTCTGAGTAAAGCCTCAATAAAAACAAAATGTTATAGCACTAACATGAGGTAGGTTTGGGAATAAAGAAGTGTTAGTTTGCAGTTCTAATAGCAAGCGTCTATGGAAGTTATAAAATGAACAAACTAATCATGATGGCACTTGTAAGTTTGTAGAAAGATATTCAGCCAAATAATACTGAAGGCACACTGATGTTCAGGAAGAGCTCAAGGAGGAGTTGAGATAATGGCAGAAGGCAAATAGATCAGTAATTCTTAGTAAAGTCATCTCACGAAACAAGAACAAAGGGCAGCCAAAGAAAGAAGCTGTTGTGAAAGCTAATGACCAAAAGTTTGAAAAGATTGTCTGAAGTGAAAATGGAGGAGTGCTGGTGGACGATGATGAAATAATTAGGAGATGTTATCTATTTTCTGAGAAACTTCAATTAAAATAACAGGGATAAACTTTCAAGTGAAATAAGAGAAAGCACATTCACAGGTGCTGCTACTGTGTGTGACAAAAGGACTGCTAAAAAGGTCAAAGTATAAAAAAAAAATCAGTGAGACAAGACAGTACATCAGCTGAAATGTGTAAAGCATTGGACCATGGGGAATTCATTATGACAAAATTCAGCTTAACCTCCCAAATCATTTCCATCTTTATGAGGAAGAAAGACATGAAGGTCATAAAAGGAATTTGCAAAAAAAATGAAGTCATTCTCAAGCTATGAAGTTATCCAATGAAATGGCAAGAATGAATTTTTGAGAAAATGCTGGGTAATTTAAGGACATATTAAATAAAAGTTAACCAGTGCCTAAAATAACCATAAAACTTTGCCCATGAGCTCAAGCTTATAACCAGGAATCGTAATGTCAGAATGTTTTTGGTAAGATGACTGGTTGAAATGCTAATACTTTTTGCTGTGAGGTACAGAAGCAGCACACCCAAAACAAGAAGATGGCTATTAAGTGCAGAACAAATGCATTCTCTTCATCAGTCTACAAGGAGTAGATGATCTTGGCTTCTGGGTGGGTGTATTCCAAAACTAAATAGGAAATTAACCACTGTTGTTTAAAATTGTATGTAGGGCACAGGATATTTTATAGGGCTGTTTGCTCTAAACAGGGGAGGTAAGATGTCAGCAGTATCAGAATCCAGGCTGAGCCAGCTCCACACTATTGTTTCAACCATTATCGTTAGACCATTCCTTTTTCATCAGCAAGGAATAACTGTGTCTTCCTACCTCAACCTGTTTTGTTCTTAAAGAACAAACACTCATTGGGTTTGTCCATTTGTTTCTATATCTTTCCCCAAAATAGTAGGCAAATTAGAGAAGTACATAAAATCCTCAGCAGCCATATTTTAGGAGAAATAAAGGAAAGAGTTAAAATAATTGCATTTAGCGCTGAGCTCTCTTAGCCTTCTTTCATGGCACCAGTCCTTCAGCCAGCATTTGGGAACACGTGTTTTTAAAGATTGTCAGAGATGTGTATAAACTACCATGACATTTTAAGAAGTAGAACAAAACATAAACAAGTGTGGGTTTTACGAAGACACATTTACACCACACACCGTTTGTGCACTTGTTCCCGAGTGCCATTGCAGCAGACTAGAGTAGAGGTTATGTGAAGAATGCATCACAAGAACCTCATATTTTGCATGCAAATGAAGACAAACCAATAAGAGACTTAGAGTACGGGAAGGCTATATTAGGAAGGAAAAAAAACCAACAACCCCAAAACAATAGAACATATGCAGTGTTTCCAGGAAGAACAGTAAGATACTACACAGATTAGATAGTGTCAATTATTATGCAGGGGTTCAAACATCTAATTTCCTGTGGAATCACAGTGAGAAAGTGGATGGGGATATTTGGTGTCATAGGAAGATGGCTCAGTGTGAAGAGCAGGAGTTTATTTAAACTTGAAGAGCTTGCCAGGGGAAAAACAGGGCAGAGTACCTGGTCAGCCCTTTGTACAGATTAGAAATTTGATTGAGTGAGAGGCAAGAATTATTTCTCACCTCCAGGAGGAGAGCTCTGAGTAGGGGGCTGTGTAGGAGAAAAGCCAGTGAGCTGTGCACGGAAACTTTGCGTACCAGGAGAAAAATCTCACCATATTGCCTGAGAAATCTGAGTCCCGTGAGACAGCAAGATACAGGCTATGTCAGCCAGAACACACCCGGCGTTCAGTCACGGAACAAAGACCACAAGAGAGAGAATGGGAAAAGAGACTCAAGGAATTAACAACAGAAGGAAGAGCTAATGATGTGAACCTGAGACGCATTCAGTCAGTGTGTTTGGTGGCAGAGAACGTGCAGCCAGGCAAGTCACGGCTGAGCTTCCCTCAGCCTGAGCCTCGCTCCCCGGGTCAGCACAGTTTAGTAGCAAAATCCCCTCTGTTATTAGGCTGCCCCCAAGAACAATGGTTACTTTAAATTCAAAGGAATAATGAAAATGCTAGTTTTATCTCCATATTCTCAACATTTTTACCAGTTAGAAAAGGGTTTCCCAGCACTCAGAACCAGTCTGTACTCTGAACCTCTCTTGCTTTCTCTCAGTATAACACTTGGATGGCCATATCACCCAGATCAAAATCCTTCAGAAAAAAAACCACTCTGCTGTAGAAAACATTTTCATCCTCTGCTTAGGGCGTCAAAGGAGGAACAATATTCAGTGATCATCATCATAATAATTTGAGACACCAATGCCTTTGAAGAGAACTGGTAACTATTAAGCAAACTGTTAACTATAAAGCAAATCTCTGAGACAAATGAAAAGGAGACCTCTCCTCCTTAGAGAAGGCACTTAATGAAAAATTACTTCATATAATACTTTTCTGATGGCCAAATGACAGACATGAAAACTACTCCAGAAAATTCAAAGAGCAACATAACATCTTGTTATAACTGAAGCTCAAGTCCCTGGTGCCATCGATGGAAGTCATGCAACTAAACCATCTTTTCCCTCTAGCCATCATCTCATTGCAGTAATACATTGAACAACACTAATAAACTAAAAAGCAAGTGTGTTGCTGCTGCTGATTATCATTTGTGTTACATTAAAAAAAATGGTTAGTTCACAGACTTGGTAATGTAATCAACTATCCATGAGTGAGTAATTATTATAAGCAGCCATTTTCAGCACAAAATTTGCATTCCACATTAAGGCAGGAGGAATAGCTAAAACCTAGAATAAAGAAACTATTACCAAAATTTGAGAATCCACAGTACACAGACAGGCAAATCCTCTTGCAATCCCCTCTAACAAAGATAAATCTGTATACTCTGAACCTCTGAACTTATCCCTGCAATGACAGAGCGATGGTCAGACTGAGCAGCCTTCCTTAAATGCTCATTGCTACCCCTGCAAAACATAACCTTACATGACACACTTCATGATACTTTTTTTTAAGAGGGAAGGGTGACAGGACCCTTGGTAATATCATGGCTTTTCCTAGTTTTGCAGCAAACTGTTAAGGAATGTGCATCACTTTATGTGTATCACTTACATAAATCAGAAACTGATTAAAATTCTCCTAGTTCTTCTCTGGTTTCTGATTTCATGTCCAGCAGAATACTTTGGTAGGCCTCCCTGCCCTATGTTAATACTACTAATCTCGAGCTGAGATTATGCTTCCTACTTTCTTGCTCTTTTCATTACTGTATATAAGTTTTCAGTGCATTCACAGATGACGAGCCAACAACTATTTTTTTAAGCTGATATTTGCCAAGGAAATTACCATCTTTTTATTTATTTTTGGAAATAACAAATTATTCTGTATAAGATATAATATCCAGTGATGAATTGTCTAGATTTACTGTAATTATGGGCTATTTTATGCACAATGATTTATGATCTTCCTTTAGTATTTTTCATCTTTCCTGTATTCATGTGGAAGGTGCTAGAAGGCAAACTGTCAACTCAGGTCTCCCCGAAACAGCTAAAGAGATGCTCTCTTGATGCTCCTATCCATTTTAAAATATGAAGGAGGTTTCACAAGGTTGTTACATTTTCCTGTAAATTTAGCAGATGGGCATATTTGGCTTTGCACTGGAGGTAGGCAACGCAGCTGAATTCCATGCACAACCCCTGGGTATGTTTTTTCTAAACCCAATCCAGTAATGATTCAGTTTATCACACAACTTTGCAACGTTCTCAAACTAAAGCAAGTAATTGGGCAAATATTTGAGCATTAGCATTAAGGGAAGCTTTGCACCTGTTTAATTTTGCTGGGACTCAAGATCTGCTGTAAGCATGTTATCCTTTACAACACCTCTCTACTAATGATTATCCTCCTGTTGCAGATGGCAAGCTATGGCTTGCAAAAATCAAGGGAATTACCAAAAGCTGCCAGGAAACCAAATGCCAATAAGAGGCAGAAATTAGCCAGCTTGCACAAGTTTGTGCCTTTAATGCCAGTTTTCTGTCAAGCTTTATTACAGAGGAGAGAAGACATATTCAAAAGCCAGGAGGCAAACAGTGTCTGAGAATGTCTTGGTTGTTAAACACTTGTGGGTAGCAAACAGAACTTTTGGAGGTTCTTTTGATAAGGAGAAATTATGACAAGAACAACAAATTAAAGCTGTGGAAAGGGTCGCAGAGCCCCTTTGTGGTGGGGGTTTATGGCCACAGAATTTTTTTTAACATTACTTTATGTACATGTGCTGGATTCTAACAGTATTTATAGGTGTGTAACTACTTCAGTGGTAAAGAAGGGTTGGATGCTTTTAGCCATGGATATTCTAAACCAAAACACAACTTTACTATAAATACAGTAAATAATTGCAAAAAAATGCTATGGAGATCAGGTCATTGCACTCCCCAATAGTTGCTTTTCCTGCTTTAGTACATTCCCTTGCTGAGCTTTAGTGCACACACACACACAGAGCAAATTATAAACGCCTAAATGCCGTGTTAGTTTTGGTTATGCTACTTTGCCATTTACATCAAATTTCACACCCCACTGATAGTTTGTCACACTTTTTGTACACTAATTTCCATCTGTTGGAGCTGCCAGAATGCTACTAACAAGAGATCAGTTTGATCAATCAGTTTGATAAGGTTGTGACGTACACAGGCAAAACAATGTTTGTAGTTTTCTATTGATTTGGATGTCTGGTTGCACAAACAAGACATTAAACATACAGGTTTCCTATAAATACTTGAATCACACACCATTTAAGATATCATCAAAAGTAAGTTACGTTTTCGTTTAGAGCCACCTGGTTTTACTTTGAGGCAGCTTGACACACTGATACAGCCGGTACATGTTTGATGCAAATGTATCTCTGTCACAGGCCCTGTAAAGGTTGCTAGAGTTGTTCTTCTTTTGTTGTGATGAGTTGCACAATGATCAAAGTGGGCATTGGTTCTGGAAACTGACATTAACGACCAAAACCCAAAGCATCACCAACAACCATGCTCTGATTTTCCAGCACTGGCAACGTTCTCCATTCATGCTGGGCTAAAACTCCATTAAAGTCAAATAGAGATAGATAGCATTAAAATAAGGTCAAAGTTAAGTTACCAAAGTTACCATTTTAACAGTAAATTGAGAACATTTTCCCTAAGGAATTTCTCTAAGGAATAAAACCATGAAAAATACCACACTTTGTGTAAATAGGTAAAGGAATGGAATTAAAAAAAAAAAAAAAGAATGCAGATATTTCACCTAAAGAAAATTTTCTTTCAGTAAATGTTTCTATTTCTAAATAATCATGTGAATCTTTAATAACCAAATTTGGAAAAAAAAATAAAAATCCTACCCTTCTCAAAAACATACTGGTTTAGTCCCACCTATTTTTAGTTTGCTGAAGTTGGTACCTTAACATCAATGTCGCTTGGGGCTGTGCAGTGCATCATCCATTTTCTTTCTTCATTTTCCAAGAAGCTTGATTTGCTGCTTGAACGCTGTTGAGGGAGGGAGAACAAGGTATGAAAAAGAGAATAAAGACCAATTTTTCTGCTTATTTCAACTCCTCAATGTGGAATTGTAATGTGGAACGGGCAGTTCACACCTCCTCATTATTTATGGTGGTTAAAATGAATGTGCCAGGAAAATGGCAGCTGTTTCTGTGCTATATGCAAAGATATTGACTCCAGGTCCTCATAGCTGCAAATAGCCAAGGAAGGACAATCTTGTTTTCTTGGAGATTTACATCCTACAAGTAAGAGTCAACTTGGCCTGTTTATAGTCTGGAGACAAATCTGAATGAAATACTTGGAGACTCCTGCCAGGCTTGTTCTGTTTTCCACTTACCTGAGGGAAGGCAGAGGTTGATGCCATTGAGATCGCTGCTGCATTAAAAGCAGGTGCTGCAAATGGCACCTGAGTATTAGGATCCACAGTTGCCGGTGCCTCCTGAAACATATTTACAGCCTTGAAGAGTGTCAGAAGTTGCTGAACAGGTGTTTTATTACATTGAGTCAGAGCTCCACCCCTCCATGATTTCTGAAACAGGAAAATTTCCCACCCACATTACTTGTCCAAAGAGCATGTCTGTTCTAAGGCGCAAATGCTCGTATCTTCAGGTCTTATGACTGAGCAGAGCACGCTGAGAGACCAAATCGTTCCCACCTGGGGGATCGTAGAAGTGTAATAACAGCGATAACCTGATTGATGTTCTGATAGAGATTATAGCAATAATCTAAAAGTAATGATAGTAATAGCCTAAGAGACACATCTACCTATTGTCTCCATGCAAAGACACTGAATTCCACGCACTATTGCCTCCATAATAAAATTATGAAAAAAAAAAAAGAAAGATGAGGATGAACGTTAGCAGGAAGACATTTATGTATGAAGATATTAAGAATTCTTCTGAAGGAATATTTTTCCCTGAAAAGTGCTGTTGCATCATGATTTGTGCATATGTGTTTGTTTTTATTGTAATGTTCTACTTCAAAAGAAATGAAAGAAGGGAGAAATTTGGTAAGCAACATTTCTGTGCTCCCTAAACCACAACGTATTACTTCTCCATTTGAAATGCTTTACTTATTCTGGGCTTTACATTTAATACAGTACACTTCTTAACAAATTTAAATGAGATTCAAACATTTCACCTTGAAAAATCACGAAACATTTCAAGAAAATAAATTAATTTCATGTTTTAGGAGATTTAAATTCTTCCTTTTTGTTTTCCCCACTTCAGAACTGTCATTTTCTGATGCAAAAAACATTCAGATTTCTGAGCAATTTTATTCAAATCACCAGCCAGCTGGGCATTACTAGCAGAGTATTGGAATTTAATGGACTGATCCTGTACTTTTTATGATTTTTTTATCTAATGAAGTTCTGCAAGTGTCCAGCACACCTCTAGGAAGCTCGGTGATTAAATTTTCTAATCCATTATGCAAGCATTACCAGGCACACATACATTTGTATTGAAAGTCCTCCCCAAATGATTAAAAGTAACGCTTATGAAAGGACTTGAGATTAATAGGATGACAAAGCATGATGTTTCCTATTAGAGACCTGCATAAGTATGAAATCACAACCACTCTGACTGTGGCAATGAGTGTTGTACAAGGACGTTGACTGACAGAAACTAGGCACAAACCCAGTCGCTTCCAGCATTCTCATTGCATACTTTTCTTATATGCACAGAGGAATCAATATGAAAAGCTGGTGTTACAAGGAGAACAAGTTAAGACAGTTTGATCATCTTACCTGCAGTGCTCCGTCCTTGCAAAAGTTTGATTTCTTAGGTTTTATGCCTACATTTTCTGATATTTATTTCTTTAATTAAATAAGCACATTTATTTTGTCACATTGAGCAAGGGAAAGGTTTGCTGTGAACTTCCTTTCTCACCTTCATCGTATTGTAACTTTTTGATGGAACAGGAACTGCTTAATTGAAACCAGAATTAAATAAACTACAGCAACAGGCAAAGGATAGTCACAAGCCTCTCCCATGCTTTAGCCAATGCTTTGCTTAATATGAGCACTTGCACTTCTGTAAAAAAATTTTTAGAATCTGCCTTTTTTCCTGTAAAAATGGTGACCAGAAATAGTTTAGAGAAACAAAAGCATGCACATTTTCTATTTCTTCTACTACAGCCTATCTGTATCCTTGACTGAAGTGCCTAGAAGAGGTGTGGTACCACAACAGAGGAATGAGAACTTCAGCTACAATTTCTTTGTAAATGTGCTCCACAAATGTTATCAGCTCCAGGTCTTGTTTCTGCAATCCATGGAAGATATTGGGTGTGAGGTTTTTGCATGAGAGCCAGTTTTCGTTTACGTGTGTCATATCGCACATTTGGTTTTAAGACAAAAGGAAATGGGGGGGGGGGGGGGGGAAGAAACCTCCAGCATCCCTTAGGAAGGTGACTAAACGTTGCTTGTTGCCTAGCAATTAACTCTTCTTTCCTGACTCAAGCCTTCCCGATATGAAATACCTGTTTTTTAAGCTCCAGTCAGAGACAGCCAAAGGTACCTTCGAGTCAAAGCTGGCACTGGTATTGAATTATCTAAATTAGTGCAAAGTTCAAATTGCTTTTCACTATGAAGCACTATTTCTTCTGAGGCAAACGTGGCCTTTTCGCAAGGCACGCACTTAGGATAGGCTCACCTAAATTAAGTCATCTAAAAGTTAGGCTTCTAGTCGAAGCGGATCTCCCGTGTTCCCTGTGTACTGAATGGAGGAAAAAGCAAGTGTGGTGACTGCAGGTAGTGACTAAGCACCTCTGTATTGGATTCTTCTGGAGAAGCCCAAATGTCCAGGTCATACTTGACACCTAACTTGTGAATGGCTGAAGGTAGGTGGGGTGAATCCCACCTTGAGTAATCAGAATGTCCTCTTTAATCACTTGCTTCCAAAGTTACTGATGCTGAGGGAACCTGACATTGAGGAACTGGGTTGTGTTGTTAACACGTGATTCACCCTGTCGCAATGTGAAGCTGCAAAACACCCTAGGGCGAAAGCTCTATTAGGATACAGATGAAAAATCCTCTCACGGATTCATTCAAATAACGAAGAAGAGGTTTGTGATAACCAGGATGGCAGAGAACGCAAAACGCTATGCTGCAGGTGCCAGGAGGAGTACAAACTTCCTGCCTTATTCCAGTTTGGGATCGCCTAAGGCCCCTGTGATCACGAACAGGACAGCTTGACTGGGGACTGCTGTTCGTAAATCACAAGCTGTGCAGCGGTAGCTCATGCCCAGGCGTATTAAGGGAGAAATATGAAGTTGGGTTTTCCGTGAAACCCCAGGCTGCAATCTGTGGAAGTTCAGCAGCCGCTTCATAAGCATCTGAGACATGTTTGGGACAAATGGGGAATGTCAGAGGGAAGGACAGAAAGGAGAGAACTGCTACAACTGTCTGAAGGTAATGCACTCCCAACTTGTGGAGCTCAGCCCTGGAGGTCGGTTGACACATTTAGTGCAGCTCAAAGAACAGAAAAACTGTGCTGGGCCACCCTTAGATACTCACACTTATGGCAATTTTGGGGTCTGTCTGTCAGCTGGTGGGCTTCTGGTGAGATGCAGATCACCCAGAGTTGCTCTGCCTTGAACAGGTTTTCATTTGAGGCTTTTTTCTGTAATATCTTTTTATTTTTCCCGACTAGTCTGATGGTGTCTAAGACTACAATCAACATGATCTAAAACTAAAACCCATGACTAAGCTAGGCCAATTTTAACATTAATGCTCAAAGATCAGAGATAATTATTCAAAGATTCAAAGTGATGGCTAACGACAAATAAAAGATCAACAAGATTCTGTGTTTTCTTTTGACTTTTCTCAATCATTCTCAATGATCATAGAGTCATAGAATTTTTAAGGTTCGAAAAGACCTCTAAGATCATGAAGTCCAACCGTTGACCCAACACCACCATGTCTACTAATGGCAACCCTCTTCAGCCTCTTTCCCATCCTTTCCAACTCCTCTGCAGCACACAGCTTTATGTCTCATCCCTATATCATGGGATTTTTCATATCATGCCCTAGCAATGTCATCAGCCCTGCTTGCTTCAGCACATCTTCCTCCCAGATTTCCCAGACCATGTTTCTGAAAATAGGAGAAAGGGAGGGTCCAGCTTCCCTGAAAGCCCTTCTGGTTTACTCCTGATTAGTATCTTTACTGGAATCAGCCATCTTCTACTCCCCAGGGATACAGGAAGGTGCAGCTAATGTGACTCATAGCAGTATGATGCTTCAGGCATGTTAAAAGTAATAATGCATGGTGTCCCATCTGAAAAAAAAAACGGAAATGTTCAAGTTCATGTCAGAAATCAAGAGATTATAGCAATTTCCATGACAGAAATGACAAATATAATTCACAAGAATCAAGCTTTAATATGGCAATGGCTGTACAACTTTGCCTGATCCACATTGTTGCTGCTGGTGACCCATATCCCTTTTATTTTAATAAGATAAATATATTGGTCATCATGTGAAAGATATATATATATTTATCTGTAATTCAAATATGAACACATTAGAATAGAAAAAGTGAAATGGCTTGAGAAAATTTGCACAATAAAGTTAGATCAGCAGAAAAAGGGGTGTTTCTGTCCACCAGGAGAATCATACTGCTTTTAGGAGGGCCCTGTATGCTCCTCCCCATGACAAGTACGGGGTATAGATATTTGTTTTTACATATGTACTAACTTTACCCAAACTCAGAGAAAACTTAAATTCAGAAAATACTTCAGAATCAGTCCAAGAAGTACTTAAAGTCCCAGACAAATACTGACAGTAGCTTAGATTTGTGATGTTATTTGGTCTGGTTATTCTTATATAGGACATAAACTCTCTTCTGATAGATCTGACTTGTAGGAGGTGTGTGCATGTGCTCAAGTGAAATACCCTTTTCCTACTGAGCTTTATATATAAGTTCTTAAATTAGTCCTTTTTTTGCAAGGCATGCTATTTTGAATGCTGGAGAGGGACTGTTTACAAGGGCATGGAGTGATAGGACGAGGGGTAATGGCCCTAAGCTGAAGCAGGGGAGATTTAGATTAGATATTAGGAAGAAATTCTTTACTGTGAGGGTGATGAGACACTGGAACAGGTTGCCCAGAGAAGCTGTGGATGCCCCCTCCCTGGAAGTGTTCAAGGCCAGGTTGGATGGGGCTTTGGGCGACCTGACCTACTGGAGGGTGTCCCTGCCCATGGCAGGGGGGTTGGAACTAGATGGTCTTTAATTAGGCCCCTTCCAACCCAAACCATTCTGTGATTCTATATCCTGCATGGATTCTAGTTCTTACCAGCGTCACCCTAGTCTCCCATCAAACACTAAAAGACATTGAGTCTGCTAAAGCAACTTATCCTGAAATAAC